ATGGAGCTCTGAGCAACCTGGTCTGGTGGAAGATGTCCCTGCTCATGGCAGGGGGGGTGGAACCAGATGATCTTTAAGGTCCCTTCCAACCCAAACCACTCTGTGATTCTATGATATTAGGCATAATGTATTAAGGGGTGATACAAGTAACACACAGCAGCATTTAACTGATTCTTTCAAGTTACATGGCACTTAGGGACATGGCTTAGTGGTGGACTTGGCAGTGTTAGTTTTATGGTTGGACTCGATGATCTTAAGGGTCTTTTCCAACTTAACTGATTCTGTGATTCTATTCTAATAAGTAACCGGTTGCAGCGGAGCTGAACTTGTCCCCAGTGACTGTTTTTGATGCAGTCTGGAGCTCAGTCTTGATTCCTAGTGTTTGTAACCCAAGACCAAGATAATTGTTCAATTTCATATGGCAAATGGCGCTTTTTGTCTACTAAATGGTGAAGCGTGCAGGTTTCAACCATTTTTTCCTTCCGTCGTGTTTTTGGCATTAAACACTGGATTATCCTACCCCACTCTAGACCGTGTTCCTACAAGTGCCAGGCTGTGAGGGACACCCGTGATTGCCCCCCGACTGTGGGTTAATTCTCAGTGTGCCTTTGTGGGAACGCAGAGAGCTGCTCTGTGCAGAAGCCTGCAGGGCTGAGGTCCTCATCAGGGCATGGCAGAGTTCCTGTAAGCTCCTGGACACTGAGCTTTCCTGGAACTCGGTGGGAGTAAGATGGAGTTGTACTCCAAAAGTGTCTGATATCCTGTAGGATGCTTTCTACCACAAAAGATGTGCTGTGTAGTTTAACCCTGGCACATTTGGTTCACATAAACTTAGCAAACATTTTTTCACCCAAGAAATGGGCTTTCTTAAGATGATAACCTTTCTCTTCGTTGTGTCTTGTTTGTTTGTGGCACCTAGGTGAATATACAGTAATGACGGCTCATTTTCACCTGAAGAGAAAAATCGGTTATTTTGTCATCCAGACTTACCTGCCCTGCATCATGACCGTCATCCTCTCCCAAGTGTCGTTCTGGCTGAACAGAGAGTCCGTGCCTGCCCGGACGGTCTTTGGTGAGTCCGGCTTCAGCTTTGCGCGTGCCGGCCGAAGCTGTTGGGAGCATCTCTGCAGCGAGCTGGGCAAAGGCCCTTTTCATTCACGTTGGGGCGTGTGTGGAATGTGATACTGTTCCTGGTCCAAACAGCTTCCGACTGCAGCTTGCAGATCTCCTGAGAATCACAAAGTGCTGGGAAATGAGCACATATGAGACAACTGTTCGTATATCCTTGACTCTTTTAAGAGGAAAAAATTTTCATAGAATGGAAAAAGACAACAATGTCTTTGAAACAAGTTCATTGAAACAATGTTCATTGAAACAAGTAAATTTACATTATGTTCTGGAATGCCTTTCTTACCTTGACATTATCCAAATATTTTGATACTTGGTAGACGATCGCATTTCTAAATATATTTGTAAATGAAGCACATTAAATTTGAATTAGTTGAATTAGTTGAATGTGCTAAACTTTGCAAGCTGCAGTTTTTTGAAAGAAATCCTGTTCTGGGGGTCTGGACATAACTTGCTCACTAAGTCAAACTGGAGTCTACCAGGAGGCAACGAGCAGCTTCAGCAGGGCTACAAGGATGATGAGGGGACTGGAACATCTCCCCTACGAGGAGAGGCTGAGGGAGCTGGGCTTGTTCAGCCTGGAGAAGAGAAGGCTGAGAAGGGACCTTAGTAATGCTTAATAAATATCTGAAGGGTGGGTGTCAGGAGGATGGGGCCAAGCTCTTTCCAGTGGTGCCCAGTGACAGGACAAGGGGCAACGGGCACAAACTGAGGCACAGGAAGTTCCAACTGAACACGAGGAAGAACTTCTTCCCTCTGAGGGTGACGGAGCCCTGGCCCAGGCTGCCCAGGGAGGCTGTGGAGTCTCCTTCTCTG